TGTTGATGTGATATTAGGATTTAAAATTCTTAAAACTCCTAATTGTATAGCATTGTATCAAATACATTATATTTAAAAGATACTTGAAAAATTCAAATTTTTGAATTTGAAAAGGGCAAAGACTCCAATTGATGTAAATCTTCATCTTGCAAAGAATAAAGGTGAAAGTCAGTCTCAATTGGACTATGCTAGCGTTTTGGGAAGCTTAATATATGTCATGAATTGTACACGACCAGACATAGGTTGCGCTATCAGTAAACTAAGTCGATACACAAATAATCCTAATCATAATCATTGGTTGGCAATGAAGAGAGTTTTGGGATACTTAGATGACACTCAAAACTATGCTTTACATTACAACAAATATCCAGCCGTTTTTTAAGCATATAGTGATGCAAATTAGATTACTGGGTCAACTGAAACAAAATCCACAAGTGGATACGTTTTTACTATTGGTGGAGGAGAAATATCTTGGAAATCCTCCAAAGAAACATGTATAGCTCGCTCTACAATGGAGTCTGAATTCATTGCTTTAGACAAGGCAGGTGAAGAAGCTGAATGGCTCCGAAATTTCTTAGAAGATATTCAATTTTGGCCCAAACCAATGGCCCCTATATGCATACATTATGATAGTCAAGCTGCAATAGGAAGCGCTGGAAGCATTATGTATAACGGCAAGTCCCGTCCCATAAGACGAAGACATAACTCTGTGAGACAACTACTCTCTAGCTGAATTATCACAATTGACTATGTGAAGTCAAAAGATAATGTGTCGGGATCCACCTACAAAAGGCCTAAATAGAGAGGGAGTTGAGAAATCATCGACTGGAATGGGACTATGGCCGAGAACAAGTCATCGTGGCGGTAACTCTACCTAGAAGACTGGAGATCACAAGATTTAGGTTTAAGGAGATAAAACAAAGTCATTGATGACGGTTCAACATTGTCAAAGTAAAAGAAAAAATTATTATTATTTTATGGTTCATTCTCATGATGAGACAATGTTTAGTAACAAGAATAGAGACATAAGGACTTTTTAATGGTTTCTATGTTTGATACAGGGAATATCAAATGGTGTATCTATGGGATAACGCATTAAGAAATCACCTATATAAGTGTGAAGTGTAAGCCGCCTCAAGGAGAATTCGGTAAGGCCAGTTATTTAAGCACTTACTATCCAAGATGTGTTGATGGCTTAAACGAACAAAACAATGCAAACTAAGAACAGTTCAAGGGTTGATTGTGTGACATATGTTGTCTAGGTATACACCACAGCTCGACGATTCAAAGATATCAAATGTACCGATTGATCGAGTATATCCGATAAATATTCACTGTGGAAAGTTTAAAGGGAAACCTACTTATCAAGATACGATTAACCTTTACCTACAAGACACACAAGTTTTTTCATGCATATGTTTTAACAATATCCTTCCCCATTCATGTGGGAGATTCTTGGGATTTAGCAAGTGTGAATGGGAAAAGAAAAGAGAGAATATGAAAAGTGAGGGAACTACTTTGGAGGGAAAATGAAAAGTCATTTCTCCCATATTGGCAAAAGAAAGGGAAATTGTTATTCATATAGAAGGAAACACTTCCATTACTTCTTAAAGAGCTAAGAATAAGATGCCCCCTCGCGCCATCATCGTCATCGCTAGCTCGGCCTCGGCTTTGGCTTTGGTTTTGGCTTTGGCTTTTGATTTGGATTTTGATTTGGATTTGGATTTGGCAAATTATGTGATTGATTGATAAATTTTTTGGACAAAATTTATTTAATCAGTTTTGTTAAATCAAATAAATCCAGTTAAAATTATCTCTTATAAATTTGCAGGTAACGGTAACATTTCGAAAAGTCGTTACTTTCCAAAAAGTCGTAATTTTCCTAACAGACAAAATTTTCTGAAAAGTTGTTTTTTTTCCAAAATACACAACTTTCTGGATAAAATGGGTCTGAACAGATTTCACTGAACAGACATGTTCCTTGCTGAAAATGGCTATAAAAGGAAGTCAATTTTTGATTTTTTCAAACACAGAAAATTTTTCATTCACTACATTTATTTTTTTCTCAAGTAAAATCAAAGTGTCGATCGACTGAGTCTGTGTGACTTGTTGTTGTTCTAAAGTTCGTTGAAGTTAAAGAAAGTTGAGGTACCGCTATTTCTTTAATAGGTTTAATCCGTTTTATCTTAAGTGAAATTAATCCCTTGGGTACAGTGAGGGATTAAATTTCGTAAGGACACACAATAGTTTCTGTGGACTCGGATTAGTTCTTGTATTTAATATTTTTTCTGCTTCATCTCTTTTCTGTTTCTGTTTACAAACCTTATAAATACAGGTTATTGTAAGAATAACAAGAAGTAATTCTTTATTTCCGTTAAGCAGTCATAGTTCAAGTCTGAGACTACTACTGACTCTGGAGTAAAGGCCATTGTTTTACTAAGTTAAGGTTCAATGCAGAGCACACCTTTATTATGCATAATATTCTACCTTCAACTAAATTGTGAAAAACTCTCATATTTTAATATTAAAATGAGTAGGGGATTGTTGGGGTGACATTTTAATATTAAAAAAAATATATATTATATGTCACATTGAATATCATGTTATTTCTATTGATAGAAATTACGTTTGTGCCTCTTTTATCTCATCAATTGTTGAAGAAAGTGATTATTTGTTTTTAGTAACTTATGTAACCATCAACACTTCATTTCATCCATTATTCATTATTTATGTCTTGTAACTTATGTAACATTTGAGTCATTCATTTATTAAATTTACTATCCATTATCTCTTATTCATTTCAAGGAAGAATTCATCACCTATATATAGTGTAGTCTTCATTTGTGTTGAGATACAAGAAGAAACAAAAGATCTACAAGAAAAATAGAGTGAAAAAGATAAGTAGTATTATATTTAAATTTATGTAGTGAAAGAGAGAGTTGAGATATAGAAAATGTTCTAAGTCAACTATATTCACTATACAATAGAGAGTATATGTTAAAGGAATGTGTTCTTTTGTGGAGCTTTGGACTCTTGAACTAATCTAGAGTTGTTTGAGTTATGCATTTTTGTTGGGTTGTTATATCATGGAGGGGAAAAATCAAGAGTTATACTCCTGCACTGATGTAGATTATGTCGCAGTGGGATTGAATCTCCTTAATGAGAGAGAAATATCCGTGCCTCAGCCTTAAGATTTGTTTATACATTTTTTTCTTTTTTTTCATCTATAATTTATTGTATTTGTGGTACATTACACCATAAGTTTGGACATGCGATATGAAATTTTGGTGTTGTATATTTTCTCATAAACATAAAAATCTCATAAGTTTTGAAACTATTAAAATAGCTCCAATTGTTTATTCAATGTTATCAAATAAACAACAAATTATAAAATCACATATTAAATTTATTATGACCCTTAAAGTGAAATAGGTTAAACTAGAGCTTCACATGTGCTTCATGAGTTAATAATGTATAAAAATATTAAATTTTGGCATTAGAGGTAATAATATCAGTTTGATAAGTTTGGAAGTCAAACATCAAGGGACGACCAAGATGTTCGATGACTAGACGTCTTTGTGCTTGTCTGTGTTTTTGTGTGTCTTTGCATGTTTTATGTATTTTTTGGGGTTATATTTGATAGGAGAGGATCCTAAGACATAGATGATAATGTTTAGGGTTTGACTTCAGGGTACGACTCCGCAAGGGACACCCTAAGGGTCCTTGAGAAGGACCCAAGACTTGTCAAGAAAGTATTCAAGCACTGCCCAAATGACGACCCTAATCGACGGGTAAGATTGAATGACGCCCCGTCGTTTGGGGGCATAGATCCACACTCAGTTTTTACTCCTAGAACCTAAGTTAGTCTTCATTTTTCAAAACCAAAACCTCCCACCCAAGAAAAACACTCTCAAAACCCCACTGAAGGTTGAACTCAAGGTAGATCTTGGATTGAAGGTTTTGGGTGATTTCTTCACCAAATCTCGTGGGTTTCTTCATAGAAGGTAGTATGGTAGTTCATCGTTGACACTTCTCTCATTCAAGGAGCCAATCCAAAGACTTTTCAAAAAGGGTTTCAAATTTCTAAGTTCTTCTATTTTGAAATCTAAGTATGAATTCTTGCATAAAAATGTTTTAATTATTGAAATATGATATTTTTCAATGTTAGTTAATGATTTTACGGTCAAAACTCAATGAACCCATGAATACGCAAATCCTAAATTTTTAACTTATGAAGTGGGTTTAATTTATATGATAATATAAGGCTAGAGAAGTGTTTCTTATGTCGTATTCTGAATTACCTACTACCTTTGTTCTTTATTATGATGATTTTATGGAGAATTGAGAAACAATGGAAAAACCTTTCATGAAGGATAAGTTAATCTATCTTGCTTAGTTCTTATTGAATTTATCTTATGTGTGCGCATTGTCATTATGTGCTTGAAGACATTGACATTTTACAATGTACAAGCATGATTTGCATTTTAATTCTTTTTTGGAAAATAAGTTTTTCTTTTATACGTTTTCGACTTTTTTAGAGTCGCCACTTAATTTTTTAAAGAAAATCAAGAAACTTTTTTTTTTCCTGAAGACTTAAGCAGAAAATGATTTTAAAAATTCAAAAGGGGGTTTGGAGATTCTTTTTTATATTTTAGGAAGATTTTTACAGCACCTAAAATATTCGTTAAATTGCGGTTATCTGACAACTTACTTATTTGACTAAAAATATTCAAACTTAATTTTTGAGATAAAAAATATTTTAAGTTGTTTGGAAAAAGGAAGTATTAATTTTACTATCTAAGTGAATTTCAATTTGTAAAATTAATTTTAAGCATATTTACTTCTTTGATTTAGTCGAGTCGTTATAACAAAGTGACGTCTTATGGGGGATTAGAATTTTTCTAACCTTAAAACTAATAATATGTATCAATCAGCAAGTAAATGATAAAGTAAAGAGAGAGATTGAGAGAGAGACAGAGAGAGATAGAGAGACAGAGAGATAGAGATATATATATATATATAGAGAGAGAGAGAGTTGGGTCCAAATGTGATTTCTATCCGCCTGAAATGGTATTTGGACCCATTTCACTTTGGGTTTTTTAACCTATTTAAATTTTGTCCTAAGTTCTAGCAAAATAATACAAAGATGAAGTGCTTAGGCCTAATTTTAACAAAGTACAACAATAAATAAAAAAAGTTGGCTTTTGGCCGCACGACATCAACTCTTCAGGTGACTTCATATGCTCTAATTTTGGGGGATCTTTTCATCGATTTAAAGGTTAGGAGATTCAATGGAGAATTTGAGCATTTACGGCTCACTCGAAATGCAAGAGGGGAGGCAAGAGTTCGAGGCGAACTTAGAGAGTTTTTACATGCATAAAAATGGAAAGGAACATTAGCGTACGACCTTATCAAAATGGACGGTAAAAAAGAACATACTAAATTATGCAAAGGGAAAGAATGAGACATATATACTTATAACATAATTAAAGGAAATCATATAAGGCCAAACAGAAAGCTAAAAAAATGACTAAAGAACATGGTGATAACTCCTACTAAATTAATTAGCATGGTATTTAGCAATATGCGCTAAAGTGATCAAAATCAAACTTCACTTCACTACATAAAATATTATAATGAACAATATTTTTTACGAGAATTAAGTAAAAAGTGAACCAACAAGAAACCTACAGACATTACTAGCATATGCATAAGCGCGGCAGGAACAGTAACAAGCTAAAAAAATAAACATGATAGTCAAGTCTCACATACTACTCCTTTTTTTAAAAAAAATAATACAATTGAACACCAACAAATTTAGCACTTAGAGACCACTTGAACAAAGGGATATTTTTCATCAATAAACTCATACTTAAGTCGCTAACGCATGCACATGAATGACCTTAGACTTTAAACAAGAATCTCAAAAAACTGCACATTTAAGACAACCTCGAGACAAGAGAGCGCTCATGTACAAGAAAAAAAAAAGAAAGATTAACAACAGTACTAGGATGATATTTAACTTAAACGCGAGACAATCGATTAACACACGAGAGATTTTACTAAGCAAACAAAGTAACTCAAAACTCTAGGTGACATGCTACAAGCTGCTGAAATTATACAAAATATTTATCTATAATTATCAATCAATTAGAGAAAATAAAGAAAGAGGCTTCCAATACATTAGCTAGACCTCATGTTCTGCACATATAAAGTAAGGAAAGAACTAATTAAAATTGAAATGGATTCATTGTTAAAGAAATTTGAGTGACATTAACATGAACTCAAAATCACAACAACTACAAATTCTCGTATTTAAATACAATACTCAAGAAGCCTACAAAACGGTAACTCGGGAAAAGAATATAAATAGCTAATTTCTATGTCTTTTTTGACTAAAACTTTAGTAAGCTTAATCATCCCATAGGACTTGCACAACTATAAAACTAGTCAAAATCTATCCCAACACATTAACACCTCCCTTGAATGAAAAAACAAGACATAGCTACCAATTTAAACAATGATGAAAATATCTTACTAATCTTGAAAACGTTTTAGATACATTAATAAAATAAAAAATAAACTTCTTTACAGCAAGAAATCTTCGGGACTAGTAATTGAATAACAAAGTAAGCAAGAGAACTTAATGTCAACTAACAGTCAAAAAAGTAGTTTTCAAACCAGCTTAGAATACTAAAACACTATGCTATTTATTGAAAATCAATTTTAATAAATAAATTTGCTAGGCTAAGAGAAGTCGGTCTGTACCAAAAAAAACAAACGGCTCAAGACAAGTTACAGTTGAATAGTTACACGCTAGAATGTGATCAACATAGCTAAAACTAATCAGCTAGCACCAACTAAACATGAACTAAAATATCACTAAGAACATTAGAAAATAACATAAATTTTAGGAAAGACGAAGTGGATGCTTAATCGACCATGATATAGAATAACTAAAATATAAGTAAGAACAACTAAACGGAAAGTATAGAACAACTACTAATCCAACAAAAAAAAAGGCTAAGAAGAGATGTTTAACCTTTGTTGGGGCAGCGAACGGGAAAAAGATGAGCTGAGATTCTACCAACACGCTGGCTTAAATAGATTATATTTTGGGAAAATGGAGTGAAATCTGGACCAATTCGAAAACTCAAAATTTTTTCAATTCCCGATTTGCTGCAGTCTTGTCGGTTGTACGCATTTGGGATTGTTGTGCGCATAGTTGGTATTGTGTTTGCTAGAATGGGGTTCAGCTGGGTCGTTTTGGAATTGAATGTGGGCTGGGGAGGGGGCATATTGGATTGGGCCGCTGAAAGTAAAGGGAATTGAGTTTTTTTTATTAAGAAAAGGCCCAAAATCGATTTGGTTGAGATATTTGGCTATTAATAAATGAATCAATAAGCTTCTAAATTTTAACAAAATAAAATAATCGACTTGATTATAAAATAAAAATAGTGAAAAAATTAAAAATAGAATGAAATGCAAACTATTATATAACTAAACTAGCTAGTAAAATATTTTAACAAAGTGAAATCTTTCGAGTCGATTTTCGACTAATCATAAAATATACTAATCATATATATAATTATGTAAATCATATATATTATCTTTAAATTATAAAAGTGATGAGATTAATCTAAAATAACTTACAAATATTTTATACTTAGACAATCGAATTATTTCAAATCGTTTAGAATTAAGAAACTCGATGAATTATTCATGTTACGAAAGTCCAAAATTGGGTGTCAACAAGTTGTATTGTGAAGTTGTCAATGTGTGTCTTGAACATACGCTGTATAAATGAGGTATAATATGAACGTGAAGCATGATAGTGTTTGAATTTTTCTTATTGTAGCATGATTATGTGTAAAAGTCAACGTTCTGAATATGGTTGTTATGTGAGGAGTGTTCTCACATATATTCTCACACACACTTCGAATGAATGAATAAACTTAATTAATTAAAATGGGGTATTCTAGGGTAGACATCATTCATGAGTAGACATGAAGTGTCTAACACAAACCCTACTATTTCTAAGTACTCTAGTGAATGAAGAAGGTGGATTTTGGGGTGGATACTCTTCGTGAGTTTCGATGAAGTGTTTAGTAGCGACCTCCCTATTCCAAAGAGTTTTCTAAATAAAGTTTGGAGGTTGAATACTCTTCATGACGTGAGATGTAGTATTCAAAAGTAACCTCTAGAGATTAGTATATTTCGTGAGTTGCGATGTACTACTTGGTAAGACCTTAACCTATACCTAATGAATGTCTAGAATTCCATGGGGCCTTATTCTTAGCACCGAGAGGATTTTAAGAATGGGTGGATCCTCCTTGTGAGTAGAGATTGTGTAGCCAATGTAGCTTTTGAAAGAGTAATTTCATGAGTTGATAAGAGTTACCTATAATAAATCTCCTTATCCCCTAAGTATGCGCCCGCATAGGTTTAGTTATTGGAGATCCATGTAAAGACTAAGAGAATGAAACTACCTTAGGCAAGTGGGGATCCCTCGTCCGATAGGGGTTAATAGTGAGATTTCATGCCTAGAAAGGGTAGGTGGTGGAACAGGATGCTGTCTATCTATCACACAAGTACACATTTGGAAGAAGTCTTGGTGTTTCCTTATATGAAAATGTGTGGTGGGTTACTACGTTATGTTAATGAAGTAAGTTGACTTTATTTCTAATGTTATTGAAGCATGTTGATATTATTTTTTAATTTTGATGAAGTTATGTAAATGATGAATGTGATGCGTCTAGTCTAAGGTGATTCCTAAGGACCATTAAGTGGAATAAGTAGTATGGGATGCTACTTTCACATTGCACAAAGTTTAACTTTGGGGTTGTCTTGGAGGATCGTCTTCATGTGAATATCATTAATGTATGTATATTTCCTCTAGTACCTTTAGTAATACATGTTGACTTGTTAAATGAAATGAAGTATTCATATATTTAATAGTCTTAAAGATAACTTAGGTGGGTATTGTAGAGGTTGTATGAGCAGTCTCTTTATGTCTTACCTAGGTGAATCTTATCTAGGAAGTAAGTGTATACATGTTGTGCGTTTTTTGGAAAAGTTAACTTTACTTGCAGAAAAACTTTTAAAAAACATTTTTATTTCTTTTATATTATCTATACTTAATTAGGAAAAAATTTTAAAATATATTTACATATTTAAAACAAAATAAAAAAATATAAAAATAAGTTACAAGCAGAGATTTAGATGAGGTGGAGTATATTTTTAATTTATCGTATTAAACCGTTATAATTAAATTCATTTGATTGATCACTAGATTAAACCCTTAAATGCTAGAACCACTCTTCTTCTTTATCAACATTTAATAGATAATTATATAATAATATTACTTGTGCAATTTAAAAAAAACAATATATGACTCGTGTGATTTGTGAATCAACTATATAAAGTACCAATAAATCATTATATTTGAAGAATAACGAAAAGATTATAATATTATAAAATAATGACTAGTTGAATTTCCATACCTTTCCTTTAATTTATCACATTTATATGGGAAGTTTATCCAACAATAATTGCATATCTAATATAATATCGTAAGCTGTCTTTGAGAAAATAAGTCGATATGGTTTGTTTTGTGTTATATGTATCGAGAGAGGATGATGGTTAATACTGAAAACTCGAAGGTGTCCATTTTAGAGAGTTTTTCCATTTACAAGAGAACCAATGTAGGGTTTTTTCATAGTCCATTCAATATAATCCTAAGGAGAAAACAACGTTTGTTGTGGTTTTGATTTTTTTTATCGAACTTATCTCTCCAGATTTGTCTGCAAAGAAGTCATTTTTGTCTATAGCATCGGCAAATAGAAAGCCAATAGCTATATATAAATCTACTCAAATCAAATGATGATCCGACACAACTAGGGTCGAGGTTATACTTGATCTAATGGAAAAGATTCCAAATCATATAAGATTGATGTTTGAGGATAGAAAATCTGGTAAGTTGAATGAGGGATCACTAGATTACACCCTTAAATGCTAGAATCACTTATCTTCTTTATCAACATTTGATAGATAATTATATAATAATATTATTTGTCTCATTTCAAAATAACAATTTATGACTTGTGTGATTTGAAAATAAACTATATAAACTACTAATATGTCATCACATTTCAAGAATAACACAAAGATTATAATATCATAAAATAATGACTGGTTAAAATTGTCATAACTTTCCTTTGATTTTTCACATTTATATGCGAAGTTAATCAAAAAATAATTGTATATCTAATATAACCTCGTAAGCTAGATTTGAGAAGCAAAGTTGATATGTTTGGGTTTGTGTTATATGTATCAAGAGAGGTGGATGGTGATTAGTAAACACTCGAAGGTGTCCATTTTAGATAGTTTTTTCATGGACAGGATAACCAATGTAGGATTTCTCCATGGTCCATTGGATATAATCCTAAGGGGAACACGACATTAGTTGTTGTTTTGATTCTTTTTATCGAACCTATTGCTCCAGATTTGTTTGCAACGAAGTCTTTGTTGTCTATAGCATCGGTAGATGGAAAGACAATAGCGATAGATAAAATTACTCAAATGAAGCCAAGATCCGGAACAAGTAGGGCCAGGTTATACTTTATCTAATAGAAAAGCATCCAAATCATATAAGAATGCAGTTTGAGGTGTGAAAATCTGGTAAGTTGAATGAGGGATCACTAGATTACACCCTTAAATGCTAGAATTACTCTAATTCTTTATCAACATATAATAGGTAATTATAAAACGATATTAATTATGCCAATTCAAAATAACAATTTATGACTCGTGTGATTTGTGAATCAACAATATAAACTACTAATATATCATCACATTTGAAGAATAACAAAAAGATTATAATATTATAAAATAATGACTGGTTGAAATTGTCATACCTTTCCTTTGATTTCTCACATTTATATGCGAAGTTAATCCAACAATAATTGCATATCTAATATAATCTCGTAAGCTAGATTTTATAAGAAAAGTCGATATGTTTGGGTTTGTGTTCTATGTATCGAGAGAGTTTGATAATGAATACTAAAAACCGTTAAGATTTAATTCATTTGATTGATCACTCTTCTTCTTTATCAACATTTAATGGATAATTATATAATGATATTACTTATGCCATTTCAAGAAAACAATTTACAAATCATGTGATTTGTGAATTAACTATATAAACTACTAATATATCATCTCATTTGAAGAATAATACAAAGGTTATAATATTATAAAATAATTACTGGTTGAAATTACCATACCTTTTTCTTTGATTTTTCATATTTATATTCTAGGTTTATCCAACAATATTTGCATATCTAATATAATCTCGTAAGCTAGATTTGAGAACAAAAGTCAATATATGTGGGTTTGTGTTATATGTATCGAATGAGGTGGCTAGTGAATACTAAAATTGAAGGTGTCCATTGTAGAAAAATTTTCCATGGACAGGAGAACCAGTAAGCGTTTTTCCAGAGTCCATTGGATATAATCCTAAGGAGACAACGATGTTAGTTGTGGTTTTGATGCTTTTATTGAACTTATCTCTCCAGATTTGTTTGCAGAGAAGTCTTTGTTGTCTATAGCTCGACAGTTGGAAAGTCAATAGTTATAGATAAAGCTACTCAAATAAGCCAAGACCAAGCACAACTAGGGTTAAGGTTATACTTGATCTAATGGAAAAAATTCCAAATCGTATAAGATTGTAAGCACCGAGATGAGATAATTATCGTTTGATCTTGAACAGAAATTAAAATAACAAACATATTGAAGATACAATTAATGTTTCTTCGAAAGGTACTATCAATAATGAAAAGTATCAAGGTGATGCGAGAGAAATATTAAATAAAAAAAGAATGGTTGATCAACAATTGGTTGTTGCAAATTCTGAGCAAAATCGTGCAGACACTCAATTGATGTTGTTACAAGTAATATTGTTGTCCAAACAAAAACTGAATATAAAGGGATAACGTCAAGAGTTGGGGTTGCTGCGCGCCGCGAGTTTGTTCAGGCCAAAAATTAATGGAGTCAGGACACAAACTAATGGATACATCTGACGATATTGAAGATGCTAAAAATTCTCGGAAGCATGTTTTGCAAGTTGAAAACAAGTTGTACTAAAAATTGGACACAGACTGCACCCAAAAATTCAATTAGTAATTGATGCATTTCCCCGACTAGTCAAACTAATTCTCCATGTAATTTAATAGGGTGTTAA